CATAAAATGTCTAGGCAGAGTTGCACATAAAATATGGTTTCAAATCTTTTCAATAATTATCAATATCGATCAATATGCATTTTTTTTATCGATACGCTTTTTTTCTATATCGCCCAGCCCTATTCCCCATTAGTTACCTCATTCTTCAGAAATACCAGCTGTAGTTCAACATCACTGTACTTCTGTTTTAGCCCTTCAACATCAAGTGAAAATTCATTGATTACTCCGTAGATTGGACCACATTTTCCGTCATTCCTGAAATATTTAAATGTATTTTCTAATTATCTTACACTGTATACATACATTAAATTAGTAAACTCATTTATTATAAACATTCTCTTAATTTAAGCAGCTTATAAAGTACAATACTTACGGGAAAGTTTTTCTGAATTCCTCATCAATGCTATCTGTCAGGAGTGAAATTAACTTTGTGTTGAAGTTTTTTTCCCGCCCACGTTTTAGTTTCAGGACCCCTTTATTTTCGACCAGTTTTCTTAGTTGTCTATGAAAACCACGTCCACTCTTTCTCTGAAGAAATACAAACATTTTAGAGTATAAATAAATACAAAGTACTGTTTACTAAGTTTTTAGTATCCAAAAACATACTGGAGGATAGAGAAAGTTCTTCAAGATTTTTTCAAATGAATCTTTGGATTTTTCGACTCCTTCTTGTAGGCACTTTTCAAAAATTTTGTAATTCTCCACCATTGCATATCTGATCAAGTCACTTTGTTGGCTAAGGTTTCTCTCCAGTTCTTTACAAACATCTTTGTTTTCTCCACCCTGAAAAGGAAATAAAAATATGAGGTAGAAAAAATGTGTAGTATGAGTAGCTCTTACTGTGTTTATCAAGTCATGTTGCTGTAGCTTTCATCTTCTCTTCATTCTTTTTACTTAAACTACATTTACCTATTTCGATGCACACATTTTAGTCACTTAAACAACATCCATATTATAAATAAGCGACCTTTCCAGACTATTATACATAAAGGAATTGTTGGCACCCTTCAATTATTGAAAGAAAAAGTAATACGATAAGACAAAGGTAATTAGAT